CTGGAGCGCCAGGAGTTTCGTCTACGTCTCTAGGCGGAGTGTCCTGCTGCTGCTGCTGCTGTTGCTGCTGCTGCTGCTGTTGCTGCTGTTGCTGTTGCTGCTGCGCTGCTGTTATGCGGCTCTTGAGCCCCAGGCGCAGCTGCTGCAGCAGAGCAGCCTCTGCAGCAGCACCTCAGCACACACCCGAAAGGGCAGCAAAACTGTGCGCGCTGGCAGCCGGAGCTGCAGCAGCAGCAGCGCAAACTGCAGCAGCAGCAGCAGCAGCAGCAGCAACGGGAAGAACAGCTTACCTCCGTTGGCAAGCCCGCTGCTGTCGCCGTACTGCAGCAGCAAATCATCTAGCAGCAGCAGCTGCTGCAGCCGCTCGGGGCCAGCACCAGCAGCAGCAATTGCCTCTTCGCTTGCTGCAGCTGCTTGCTGTGAAGATGACGGGCCAGCTTCTGCTGCTGCTGTTGCTGCTGACGGCTCGCTGCTGCTGCTGCTGCTGCTGCGATTTCCAAGCCTGCGTTAAAAGCAAGAAACCAAAACAGCAGCAGCAGCAGCAGTAGCACATGCACTGGACCCAGAAAGCTGCCGCTACGTTTGCTGCTGCTGCTGTTTTTGCTGCTGCTGCTGCTGCTGCTGCTGACGTACCAGCGCAGCTGCAACACAGATTTGAATATCTGCCACAGCAGCGTAGTCGCGTAGTCCTGTAGCTCAGGGTCCTTCAACACCTGCAGCAGCAGCAGCAGCAGCAGCAGCAGCAGCAGCAGCAGCAACCACATGAACGCCAGACAGCAGCACCTCCTTGAACGCCAACGATAGCAACAAGAATAACCATGGTTGACAGCAGCAGCAACAGAAGCAGCAGCAACAGAAGCAACAAGAGCAGAAGCAGCAGCAGCAGCAGCAGCAGCAACAGCAGCAGCAGCAACAGCAGCAACAGCAGCAGGACCTGCATGACTACATCTCGAGATAAGGCAGTTGTTGTTTCCATTTGCAAAACGTCCCACGAGGCCCGGGCCAGCTGCGAAGCAAACAAGGCATTTGCTGCTGCTGCTGCTGCTGCTGCTGTTGCTGCTGCTGTTGCAGTTGCTGCAGCTGCTGCCACTTTGATGATGAAATCTACAGAGCATGCACAAACTCAGCGATGGGCAGGCCCAGCAGCAACAGCAGCTGCTGCAGCATGCCAGCAGCAGCAGCAGCAGCAGCAGCAGAACCTAAAAGTAAAGTTTTCCTGCTGCTCACAGTGAGGCAAAGCTGGTCATACAAATAAGAGTTATTTAAAACTTCATTAGCACTGCAGCAAACATCACAACGCAGCAGCAGCAGCAGCAGCAGCAGCAGCGGCAGCAGCAGCAGCGAGAACGCACACACTGTTACTTGCAGTAGCTGCAACGAATTTAACAACAGGGAAGCAACAGCAGCAGCAGCAACAGCAGCAGTACCAGCAACAGCAGCAACAGCTGCAGCAGCAGTACCAGCAACAGCTGCAGCAGCAGTACCAGCAACAGCTGCAGCAGCAATACCAGCAACAGCTGCAGCAGCAGTACCAACAACAGCTGCAGCAGCAGTACCAGCAACAGCTGCAGCAGCAGTGCCAACAGCAGCTGCAGCAGCAATACCAGCAACAGCCACAGAAGCAGCAGCTATACCCGCAACAGCCGCAGCAGCAGAGCCAGCAGCAGCAGCAACTGCAGCAGCAGCAGCAACCGCAGCAGCAGCAACAGCAGCAGCAGCAGCAACAGCAGCAGCAGCAGCAACGTACACAAAAGCCCGCGCTGCTTCTGCTACGTCTTGTCTGCTGAAGATTGAAGAGACCCAAAGAGCAGCAGCAGTTTGCGCCGAAGGGCTGCAGCAAAAAGAAAATAAATAAATGCAAAGAAATAAATAAAAATATAAAAGATTGGAAAATAAATAAATAAATAAAAGAAAAAGAATAAACAAAGTGCTGCAAATCAAAGTCGAAAAAGAAGAGATAAAGACACACGGCAGCAGCACAAGCAGCAGCAGGAGCAGCAGCAGGAGAGGCTGCAGCAACAGCAGCAGGAGATGCTGCAGCAGCAGCAGGAGCAGCAGCAGCAGCAGCAAGTTGAGGACTCACAGGAAAATGGCGTAGACCAGCAAGTCGGAGATGCTCTTTTGTGCTGCCTCATTGGTGGACAAATAACTGCACAAAGCAGCAGCAGCAGCAGCAGCAGCAGCAGCAGCAGCAGCAGCGGAAAGATGTGGGGAGGCAGCAGAACAGGCGGCAAGATAACCCGCAAAAAAGAGACACAGGAGAAGCTAAAGGTGAAAACAATAAGAGACAAGAGAAACAGCAGCAGCAGCAGCTGCAGCAGCAGCAGCAGCAGCAGCAGCAGCAGCAGCAGCAGCAGCAGCAGCAGCAGCAGCAGCTGACTTGAGGAGGTTGAGGGCCAAAGCGTAGACGGACTGCTGCAGCACGTCCGTCTGCAGCAAACCGGAAAGAGCAGCAGCAAAAGCTTCTCTGTTGTCTTCCAGAAAAGACAGCAGCCAGCGGCTGGCTTGCTGCTGCAGCTGTACATACACCCCACACGCAGCAGCAAACCCGCAGTCCCCTTGCTGCTGCTGCTGTTGCTGCTGCTGCTGCTGTTGCTGCAGCTGCTGCTGCGAAAGCTGTTGGCGCCGCTGCCAGCACTCGTGCTGCTAATATTGCTGCTGCTGCTGCTGCTGCTGCTTTTGCTGTTGCTTCGGTTGCTGCTGCTTCTGTTGCTACTGCTGTTGCTGCTGCTGCTGCTGCTGCTGCTGCTGCTGCTGCTGCTGCTGCTTACGTTTTTGTCTGAAAGTATATCGTCTAGCAGCTGCTTGGAGAACTCCGCAGCTAGAGATACACCAGAGACACAGTGCGCACTGCAGCAGCAGCAATAGCAGCAGAAGCAGCAGCAGCAACAGCAGCAGCAGCAGCACGAAAAAGAAGGCCCAAGGAGGGAAAAGAGAGACAAAAGGAGACAAAAGAAACAGTAGAAAGGAACAAAAGGAGCCAGCGGAAGCCGCAGCAAACGAGACGCAAGCAGCAGCAGCAGCAGCAACAGCAGCAGCAGCAGCAGCAGCAGCAGCAACAGCAGCAGCAGCAGCAGGTTTGCTGCTGACCTGTGAACTGCAGCTGCTGACTCTTCATTCCCTCTTTAATAACTTCGGCCCCTTCAATCCCCACGCGCCGCCGCACCCGCTCCCACTGGGCCACCACTGCAGCAGCAGCAACAGCAGCTGCAGCAGCAGCAGCAGCAGCAGCAGCAGCAGAAGCAACGCCACCAGCAGGACGGGCACTGAGGTGCGGGGGCCGCAGCAAACTCAAGAAAGCAGCAGCAGCAGCAACAGCAAGTGGAGCATCGGAAAGCTGAGGACGCAGTAAGTTCAAGCCTCCAGCAGCAGCAGCAGCAGCAGCAGCAGCAGCAGCAGCAGCAGCAGCAGCAGCAGCGCCTCTTACCTGCCCCCGCCAGTATCAGCACAAGGGGCTTTCTCCTGCTGTTCACAATGCTGCGTTCAAGTGCTGCTGCTCGCTGCAGCAAGTGCAGCAGCTCTTGCTGCAGCTGCTGCGGCTGCCGCCAAGCAGCTGCAGCACCTAACGGGGCTGCTGCTGCTGCTGCTGCTGCTGCTGCTGCTGCTGTTGCTGCTGATCTGGGCAGCGCTTCAGGGTTCCGCGCTGCATGCTGCCCAGCCGCAGCAGCTTGTTCTTTTGCTGCTGGGTCTGCGGCTGCTGCTGCTGCTGCCTCTGCTGCTGCTGCTTCTGCTGCGACGGCGGCAGACCTTGCTGCGTGACTCCTTGCTGCAGCAGCACCTGCTGCAGCAGCATCTGCTGCAGCAGCATCTGCTGCAGCAGTATCTGCTGCTGCAGCATCCGCAGCTGCAGCTGCAGAACGACGCAAAGGCAGCAAACGATCTGTCAACCCCTGCCAGCTGCTGTTGCTGCTACTACTGCTGCTGCTGCTGCTGCTGCTGTTTGGTGCGTCTGCTGCTGGTTCACTGCCTGCTGCTGCTGCTGCTGCTTGCTGCTGCTGCTCCTGAGCGTTCTCAAGAGCTGCTGAATGTCTTGCGTCAGCGGGGCGCTCACTGCTGCCGTTGCTGCTGCTGCTGCTGCTGCTGCTGCTCCCGTTGTGGCCAGCTGCTTGCTCTTCCTCGGTGGGTGGAGCTCCTGTCTGCTGCTGCTGCTGTTGCTGCTGCTGCTGCTGCTGCTGCTGAGATAATTTCCACCGAGAAATGAAAGAGATTGCGCGTTTCTGCTGAAAGGGCGCAGCAGCAGGGCCTGCTGCTGCTGTTGCTGCTGCTGCATCTAGCTGCTGCAGCAGCAGCAGCAGCCGGCTCGTGCGAGCATCGCTATTTAGGCCACGCAAAAGAAAAGGGGAAGGGAGATTTTGCTGCTGCGGCTGCTCTTGCTGCTGCTGTTTGACACGAGGAGCAGCAGCAGCAGCAGCAGCAGCAGCAGCAGCAGCCGGACGCTGGCTTCTGGGGAATCTTCGCCCTGCTGCAGCAGCCCTCGCTGCTGCTGCTCTTGCTGCTGCTGCTGCTGCTCGTGGTCCTGCTACGCCTTTAACAGCAGCAGCAGCAGCGGCTGCAGCAGCAGAACACGGCATGGAATCTCGAGGGCGGGCGCAGCTTCTACCTGGTGGGCAGCAGCAGCAGCAGCAGCAGTAGTAGGTATTGTGTTGCTGCTGCTGCTGCTGCTGCTTATTTATTTGCTGCTGAAAAGTACTCTATTAAACTTTGCTGCTGCTGCTGCAGCTGCGGTTGCGGCTGGGCTTGAGTGAGCGTGTGCCAGATCTACTGATGCAAAAGCAGCAACAGCAGCAGCAGCAGCTGCTGCTGCTGCTGCTGCTGCTGAATTTCGCAGCGAATTCAAATGTTGACAACAATGAAATAATACATTAATAAGATGCATCCGATGTGCTGCTGCTGCTGCTCCTCCTGTGGGGCAGCGGCGTGCAGCGAGGCACGGACTGCAGCCGATGCTGCTGCTGCTGCCGCTGCTGCTGCTGCTGCTGCTGCTGCTGCTCGTACACTACATGTGCAGCAAAAAATACTGCGACACTGGCATTTTTGTGCGAGCTTTGTCTGAAATATATCTGTCCCAGCAGCAGCAGCAGCTCTCTCCTGCTTCCTGCGCAGTCGTGCCTTCTGCTGCAGCAGCAACAGCAGCAGCAACAGCAGCAGCAACAGCAGCGCTCCCCACTGTAGGCAAACGACGGCAGCAGTAGTAACTGCAGCAGCAGCAGCAGCTGCTGCTGCTGGAGGCCTTCTTCGGGCTGCTCTGCTCCGCAGACACGCCGCCTCAAAACAGCAGCAGCGAGAGCAGCAGGAGCGGCAACAGCAGCAGCGGCAGCAGCAGCAGCAACAGCAGCAGATTGAGAAGTTGTTTCCAGTCTCTGGAAGCAGCAGCTGCAGCCAGACATGCATCAGTACTGCAGCTGATGTTGGCAGGGGTGAGCAGCAGCAGCATCAATAGCAGCAGCAGCAGCAACAGCAGCAACAAGAACAACCGCAACGACAGCAGCAACAGCAGCAGTCTCAGGAAGCGACAAGGACGGAGAAAACAGCAGCAAGGCAGCAGCAGCAGCAGCAGCAGCAGCAGCAGCAGCAGCAGTCTGCAGAAGCAGGACGCTGCTGCTTCTTTGGGGCCCGTTAGGACACTGTACCGCAACGCCAGCTGTTGCTGCT